AAATTTCTATAACGACAACTGGTTTTCCATTAATTTTCCCCAAATAAACAGAGGATGAAGATGAAGAGACTTCAAATTGTGAGAAACTGATTGTGTGCGTGGTTTTTTGAGAAAGTTGGTTGAATGTGCCCCAAATATGTGTGTGGATATTAGTGGAGATAAGGCAACTTTTAGGGACAAATATGTATTTTCAAGAATTTTACTTTATTGCAATTTAACTAATGGTTTAAGTATTTATTTTAGAAAAAAACGTATAGATGTAGTATATTGTAAAAAAAAATATATAATATATGTATGGATATTCATATTAAATTTTGTGAAATTCTAATATAGTTGATTTTAATTGATGGATTAAATATGTAGTTTATAAAAAAAAATAATAATGACACAATTATGTAAGATACAATGCACAACAACAATATATAATTTGCATAACATCGTGTGAATATATGCACAATAAANAAGATCAAGACGTCACCCTCCAAAGAATGCACAATTGTTAACCGGTTGACGTTGAAATTTCAACATGATCGGTTAATTTGTCGGTTAACATAGATAACCAAAATAACCTACATAAGTTATATAATTTATTATAAAAAACATGATTAGTAGTTAATATTTTTTATTTGATATTATATATTAGTTTTTTTTAATGAAGAAAAAAACATTGTATATATGTAAACGAATATAGTGTGCATTCTAACAGTTATTAAGGTGCAATTCATCCATCAATAAAGTGCAAGTTGTCGGTCTGTATTGTGCATAATGGACCAAGTGAACTTTTGTCCCAAGTCAAATTGAACATGATCGTAATTAATTGGTTTATTCTGTTCGATTTACCGAATTATAATGCATAATCGAAATAATATGCCATTTATATAAAAATTATAAACCATCTGCTAATAATTTTATATATTATTTTTGTATCATTTTTAATTGAAAAATATTGAGTTCGGTCGGTTTCGATATTTATTGTGCAATATGACAGTCGTGATAAAGTGTTACATAATATATTTTAAAGTGCAACGTGTTGTTGTATAAAGTGCATTATGTTGATGTATAAAGTGAACTGCTGCACGTTTGGTACGTTATCATGCTTGTGTTTCGTATGGATAAACGATGTGATTGATGTTAAAGTATGTATAGCTGTTTTTAGATTTATGTTGTGTGGTACTTTTTGCGGGAAGTTGTTGACGTTAACTATGGAGTGTATTGATAAAGTGCAACGTGTTGTTTTATAAAGTGCAATTCATCTAATGCTAATGTGCACTCGAAGCGCAATTAAATTTTGAGTGCAATCCAAATAATCCATTTATTTGAGTGGTAACCGAATTAACCTAAATAACGAAATAATTTGCAATTATGTTATAAAGAATATATTAATAACAACTCCTCAAAATCGCCGCTGCCCCAAAATCTCCTCAACCCTAGTCGCCCAAATCGTGCGGTGCCGCTGCCCTCTTAACGGCGGTCCGGAGCCGTCGGTCGACGGCCTCCACCGCTCACCCAAGGCGGACTTGCGCCCGTCTCCATTCGTTGGCCCTGTTCCAGATTCGTGAGATCGATGAGGTGCCCTTTCCCAAGTCGATCGAAAATATTTGGCGGCGGTCGCGGTGGTTCGGGTCGCAGTGGCCGCGCTTGGTAGTGGCTTGGTCCGTCGAGGTGTCCCAGGCTGCGACGTTGTCTCCTCGGTCTCACTCCTCTTCCCGTCATCTGTGGCTCCGTCCTTCTGCACCGGCGAAGCAGTGCCTGGGAAGGCGAGCTTCCGTCCTCGATGATCGGCAACATCGTACGGTGGTAAGCTTCTCTTTTACTGCTTTGGCTCGGTTTCTTTTGCTGCGACAGGTGGAGGGCTTCTCGGTGGTCGGCTGCTGGCTGCTTTTGGGGATTGGACTGATAAGATGGCTCTCTTGGTTGGGTTATTTGGACGACGCTAAGCATTGTAGGCTTTCGGCCCTTTCATCTTCTATTTCGGCAGCCGGGCCGGGTTGGTCGAGGCTACCTAGGACTGCATTGGCAGCATTGGGGTGGAGTCGTTTCGGCTGGGGGTCGGTTGTTCCTACAATTGTGTGGAGTGCGGGCTAAACCCGTGGTTAGTGTTGGATGGCCGAGAAATCGCCTTGCTAGGCCTTATGCAGTGGTGGGCGGAGGTTCGGTTCTCTGAAGCTGGCTTCGGTTTTGGTTTGTTCGGCTGACATTTGGATTCGACTGTTGTGGGGGACATTTTAGTTTGTAGCTAATATGTCTTGTTCATAGTTAATATATCTTGTTCGTGTGGTTTTGTCCGAGTTTTATGTCTATGTTGCTGTTGTGTTTTTGTGTTTTTGGTTTGGGCCGTTGGCCCCTGTTAACCTGGGTTTTACATTTATTCTCCTGTGGGGAGCCAACACCTAGGCATTCTCTCTGAGGGGAGCTTTTAGTTTTGTGATTGTGCTTTAGTTGTGTTTTTCTCCCGTGGGGAGCCAGTTTCTAGTTGTTCGTTGTTTGAGTTAGGTTTTCTATTTCATAATTGTTTTTTATTGTAAAGACTTAATATATATATATATATATATAACAAATAATATTTTTTTATATAGTTCGATTTTTTCGATTATTTTAAGAAAATAAATCCGACATTGAACTGAAATATTTATATATTTAAATTAAAAACATATAATCCAATCGATTTAAAGATTCGAACCGAAAAATTTAAACCTGTTAGTTCCATCACTAATGTGCAGTATGATATACACTAATGTGCAACTCGTCTAACACTAAGGTGCACAATTTCGGTTCTAATGTGCAGAGTGAACCGATGAACTTGTGTCCTAAATAAATTAACACCAAATTGCATCACTTGGTTTATTTAGTTGGATAATCGAATTAACCAAATAACTTAAATAAAATATTATTTATATTAGTATTTTAATATATTATTTTCCAAAAATACATAATATCTTTATATAAAGTATAAACAACATCCTATTCTATGTCATCCCAAATGTGAATGTCCAACTAATTGAACATTATATGCAACTATAATTTTAGTAAATTGTAAATTTGGCCTATGAACTCAATTATAATTTACTGAAGTTTAAGAAATTGCAATTAGACCCTATACATTATTGAATTTCCAAAAGATAAGCCCCAAATCCAACAAGAAGTTCAGGCTATCGGACCATTACATTAATCGATTCAGCCGCCGTGTATGCTTCCCTGAACAGCCCAGCTGGACAGGACGTGCCGCTGCTCGCCGGAGATGCATCGGGTCTGCTCCTCGACTGATTGGCTGAAATCGGGTCGGAAATTTTGAAACTGCCATGTTAAGGAGAGCCGTCAAAAGGAGAGAAGGAGAACGTCGTGCTCGTCATCGGAGGCCGGAGAGAAGGACTGCGTGCCGGAGACAACTCGCCGACAGAAGCAAATGGGATGAATTCATCGGCAATTGACGGCGGTAATGATGTCGGACCGGCAATGGCGGGCGGCGGGTGTGGGTGGCGGGATTGGGCTGTGGCTGTGGGCGGCGCTGGGGCGGTGCGCCGGTGTGAAGTCCCTGTCGGCGGCGACGACCGGTGGTTTTAGGCTGTGGGCGTGCTGTGTGTGTGTGTGTGTGTAATATGTGTGCCGAGTGTGAAATGAAAAACGGTGGTGGTCGGAGCAGAAACAGGACACCGGCAGAGGAGGAACGCGACGGCGACGGCACGGCTTCGATTCCGTCGGAGCAGAAACAGGACGCCGACAGAGGAGGAACTCGACGGCGATGGGATGGCTTCGATTTCGTCGGAGCAGAAATAGGACGCCGGCAGAGGAGGAACGCGACGGCGACGGGACGACTTCGATTCCGTCGGAGCAGAAGCAGTACGATGGCAAAGGAGGAACGCGATGGCGACAGGACGGTGTCGATTCCGGCGATGGTAGGCAACGGTGGAAACGAATACGTGTAAGTGTGTGTTTCTGTGTGTGTGCGTGTGGGGTGTGTGTAAGTGCGAGAGAGAGAAATAGAGATTAGGGAGAGAGGGGGTAGGTGAGAGGTTGTGATGTGTAATGGCCACATGTCATATTATTAGTGGGTGTACGTGAATGGTTAATTGATATGGGTCCCACAATTAATAATATGTCTAAAATACCCCTAATAAATATATAAAAGCTGTATTTTTTATAATCGTTGGATCATCCGATCTAATGACTATGATTTATTCTTATTTCTTTCACTAAGCACCATTCTCACCGGAGCGTGACTCTATATATATATACATATATATTAAAAGTGTTAATCAAATTAAGGGCAATAATCATCAATATTGACACAAATATCTGAATGTTGATTTTATGTTGGTAATATGAGTTTTAATAAATTTTTTTTAAAAAAATCTTAAATATCATAGTATAAAAACTACGAACTTTTAAATTATAATAATAAAATGGGATATGTTTCTAATGAAGTTAAATGATAGACAGTAACTGTATATTTTAAATATGTTTTGATAAAATAACATGCTGACAATATTTTAATTTATTTATATCTTAAAAGTTTTGGCTAAAAAGTTGAGTTTGTACAAAAATGAGTGTAAATAATTATTTCAACCATCAAATATTATTTCCAAGTTCCAACCATTACGATACTTATTCCGTAGATTGGTTCTATAATTGTTTATCAATACTGTCATGATTAAAATTAAAATTTTAACAATTTTAAAATACTATAATTATATCATGACAACATAAATAAATAGATAAAAATATTTTATTTTCTTTTTGATATAAATGGACGAGTACATATGTACTAATCAACCATAATGGTAAACCATCTTTGATATTTTTAACAACGTATTGACATAAAAATTTGAAAATTTTTTGTCCCTTCTACAAAAATAATAAATTAATTAATACATTAAAAATGAAACTCTGCAATTTCGTTTGCTTGCTCAACAAGCTACTCCGACTTCATATCGTCAGCTTCATCTCAACACTCGCCGACAATCGGCCAATTATCGCTGGGTCAAATTCCGAACTCCTCCGCCATGGCCATGGCCGCCAGATCTATCGCCGCCCTTTCCACCGCCGCCAATTTCCCTCCCTTTCGCCACGCGAAACCCCGTTTTTTCCCCGCCATCGCCGCATCATCCACCCTCCGGCCAATCACTCTCATCGGACCGCCGGAAATCTACCTACACCCTCTCGCCGCCCCCAAACCCTCCACTAATCCCGCCCTTTCCTCCGCCGCAGCCACCGAGAAGAGGGATCCCCTTTCAGATCTAGCGGCGGCGAATTTCAGCCACGCGGCCGGGGGCCCACCCATGGGCATGATCACGACCGGCTCGCTCACTTTCCTCTCCACCGGAAACCCCTGCCTAGACTTCTTCTTCCACGTCGTCCCCGACACGCCGCCGGAGACCTTAGCCCGCCGCCTGGAGCTCGCCTGGGACCACGACCCCCTCATGACCCTGAAGCTCGTCTGCAATTTACGTGCGGCGGAAGGCACTGGCAAGGCCGACGAGGAAGGCGGCCTCACGGCGGCCCTATGGCTGCACGCCAACCACCCCAAAACCCTAGCCCTCAATTTGGACTCCTTCGCGGGGTTCGGGTCCTCGAAGGACCTCCTCGAGATCCTCTACCGGATTCTAGAAGGTCCCGACATTCGGAAACGGGTCAAACAGGAGCATAAAGAGTGGGTTCAAATGCAGCAGCAGAAAAGAAGGGAGAAAATGTGGCGGATGTATGAAAAGCGATCCAGAGAAATGACAACCGGCAAACCCGATGGAGAAACCAAGCCAGAACCGAACTCCGGCGAACAAAAACGAGTCAGCAGGAGGAATTGGAGAAAGCGCTGTTTGGAAAAGAAGCGTGTGAAGCTTGAGGCCAAGAGAGTGGAGCAGGCGAGAAGGGCCGTCGATAGATTCAACAACGATCCCGACTTCCAATTCCTACACAACCGTGTGTCCGATTATTTCGCCAATAAGCTGAGGTCGGATCTGGAGAAGCTCAGAAATGGAGACCTTTCGAAAATCAGCCTTGCCGCAAAATGGTGCCCGTCTCTCGACTCGCCTTACGACAGAGTCACTCTCTTGTGCGAGACGATTGCAAAGAAAATTTTCCCGAGGGAGGAGTTTCCGGAATACGAAGGAGTGGAGGAGGCCCACTATGCGTATCGTGTTCGGGACCGTTTACGTAAGCAAGTGCTTGTCCCTCTTCATAAAGCCCTCGAGCTGCCAGATGTCTTCATCGGGGCGAACGACTGGAAATCGATCAATTACGAGCGTGTGACGCCAGACGAGTTGAGGCTGCGCAAGAGGGACTTCTTGAAACACGACAAGGAGAGGTTTTGTAAGTACCTCGACAGAGTACGGAAAGGCGAGGTGAGGATTGATGCAGGGGATTGGTTCCCGCACACGATAGCCGGGGGACAGGTGGCGGAGCTTCAGTATTCGAGGATGTTGGCCGACATGTCAGCTGAGATGGGGAAGAAGAAGAAGATGAGTAGCTGCCTGGCGATTTGTGATATTAGTTTCTATGGTTTGGAGGTTCCGGTGGCGCTCGGGATTTTGGTGTCGGAGTTGAGTGACGAGCCGTGGAAAGGGAAACTTATCACGTCCGGCGAAAATCCCAAGCTTCAAACGATTGATGGGATTGATAAGATGAAGAAAAAGGCAGCGTTTGCCAAGCGGTTTTACGAGTGGGGGAATATGGATATTCAGAAGGTGTTTGATTTGTTGCTGAAGGTGGCGGTGGAAGGCGGGTTGAAACCCGAGCAGATGATCAAGAGATTGTTTGTTTTTAGCGAAATGGAGTTCGCAAAGGGGTCTAAGAATGAGTCGGAAACGGATTACGAGGCGATTGTGAGGAAGTTTGGGGAGAAGGGTTATGGGGATTGCGTGCCGGAGATTGTGTTTTGGAAGGTGAAGGAGTCACGGGCCACGCCTGTTAGGGCTGACCAGCGTGGAGTGGCGCTCGTGAGCGGGCACTCGAGGAATGTGATGAAGGTGTTTTTGGAGGAAGGTCGGGTTTCGGATATGAATCCGGAGGCGGTTATGGAGGCCGCGATTGGCGGCAAGGAATATGAAGAGCTGGTTGTGTATGATTGATTTTAGGTTGAGTTTAGTGTGTAGATGGTTTGTGTAAAGTGGTGGCAAGTGTGTGTGAATTTGTTAAGAGGACTAGGGTTTATGGCAAAATGGGAATGGTATTTTCTGTTGGGATTTGTTTGGTCTTGGTTGTCTTTGTTGATCTTTATGTGGTTTTGTTTGTGCAGAAAATTAAGCCTATTTGATTCATCTAAATTACCATATGATGATAATAACAATTAATTGTTTCCACCGAATATGCATAATTTAATACTCGCCGCTTGATTAATTAAAATATAGTGTGTGAGATAGTATATTGAAGTCTTCATCAATATCGATATATTTTTTACTTTGTGAATTGCGTTGGTTTTTCTAGACAAGAATGATCTGACATATATAGTTAAATTATTTATTTATTTTTTATTTTATTATTATTATTTTAATTATGATAGGAAAGTTATTTAATTAGAGTTTCCTTACAAGTTCTATTTGAAAGACTTCTCTTCAAACAAGGTTGATTGATTTTGATTGAATTAAGAAAATACTAGAGTTCTGTCTCAACCTCTCTTGTTTATTTAGGCTTTCGCACTGTTGATGTTTGGTAGTACATAGAAGGCTTCATCAAAATGAAAATGGTTCACTCGATGCCACCCGCGAGGGTGGCACCCATTGGGTGTCATTAGCCATTTATTATTATTAGACTATCTTTATTCATAACCCAATCCAACTCAACACAATTCTTTTAATAAAATACTCATTTCTCTCTCCTCCACTTATACAACCCACAATCCAATTCTATTTTTACTTTTCTTCATGACACCAACCCAACCTAATATTTTTTCTTTTCACTTTATTATTGGTCCCCTTTAGATATTTGTTAGAACATTGAACATTTTCAAACAAATTGCGGGAAATTTTTTCTGATGTGGGCACATCTTGAGAGGTGTGAATTTGGCTAAGATTTGGAGAATTTTGATCATATTCAGAATTTGAAAATTGTTGAGAATTCGGATATGGAGCAAAATTTGGATAATTTTCGGAGTTGGGTAAGTTGCCTGAGTTTGGATAGTTTTGGGAGTTGAAAAAATAATTTGGATAGTTTGGATCCATAACCTCAAATGAAGAATAGAGAGAAAATATAGAACAAGAAATGTGTGAGAAAAGGGATGTTGTATTTGGTTGCAAATTGTATCAATATTATACTCTATTTATAGAGAACAAAAAATATGAATTTTGATATAATTTTTATTTATTTTTTATTTAAAATTATTTACAATATTATTAATTTAAAAACATAACAAAAAAAAAAAAAAATACAACCCACCACATGCTGCCAAGTGGCAGCTTGTGGTTCATTCAAAAATGGGTTTGTCGACATGCCTAGGTTGATGACTCTGGTGGGGGAAAATTCAATTTTTACTTTTTTTTTTCTTTTGTCGTTTCTCACGCCACCGCCCCGGTGGCGTTAATAAAGATGGTCTTATTATATTCAATAGTGTTATTTGCAGTATTTTTATGTTATAGTATTTTTGCTATGTTATTTTTATGCAACTGTTACTTGTTTTTGTAGATATATTAATTTTTTTAATTTTTCTTCACTTTTCATCATCATGTCATAAAATTCTAAACTTGTTATAAGTAGATCTTGTTATATCTGCTTTTATGTTTTGAATTTTCCATAAATTTTTCTTATGATCATTTTTATTTTTAAATCGTTGCCTTGCTCTGATACCACTTTTTAATTCCACTTTCTATTTCTAATTTGTAATCTTTGTATATAAATATTTTTTAAATTCTTTATAAAAGATACCATTTGTAAATTATTATCTATAGATTAATCCAATCCCCTAAAGATATAGTAGTATCTTTTTCTTCTAATGTTTTCATTTTATTTTCTATTCTTTCTAGTTTTTCAAGAATAAGCTGATTAGTATCAGGTTCTTCTTTATTTTCTTTCATATGTTTTTTAATATATTTATTTAAAAAGTCTATTAATCTAGTAAAATTATTTCTAATAATACTTTTCTTTTCAGAACATTTAAATTCACAATCTAATTGAGTTCCACAGTTAGAAAGAAATTCTTTTAATCTTTGTGTTTCTGAAAAACTTGTTTTTCTTTTAGATATTTTTTCTGGTCTGATTTTATATATTCCTTTTTTCGAAGACATTTATATTATTGTTTTAGGTGGTCCTATTTTATTTATTTTCTTAAATTTTTGGTTATACCTTTGTACGTCATAATCTAGCTGTTTTAATCTTTGTTCATCTTTTTCTATGTATTTATATTGTATTGATTTCTCTATTAAATAATCTACCTCTTTGATTTTCCTTCTATTTAGCTCAACTAATTCAAGATTTATATCTTTCCTATCCATTATTACAAATTTTATATTTTATTATTTAAATTTATAACTAATGAGCTTAACTCATTAACTTGTTTATTTAATTTTTCTATTTCTATATTTCCTTTATATAAACTATTGCTACTATGAGGTTTTTCAATTTCTAGAACTTTTAGTAAATTATTTCCAGTTAGCTTTCCTAGATTTGAAGGATTACTAAATGATCGTCTACTATGTTCTCTTAAGAATTCTTTTTGGATTCTATCATTTTTAATAATAGTACTAGTTTCATTGAACATTTTTTCTGTATATATTCTTTCTTGATTTTGATAATTCATGCTTAGACTACTATTGCTTAATGCATACACTATTCTATAACAGACAACCATAGGTATATCTCCTGATTCCATTAATGTTTTTTCTTGAAAATTACATATTATTCCTATGCAGTTATTAATTTTCTTGGTCGTCAAGGGTATAGAGAATTGTAATGATATGTTAAATTTAATTACTCCATACCCTAAATCTCCTTCTATTTCTCCTAACTTTTTTGGTTCTTTATGCATGATTCTATTATCTTCAACTTTTATATTTACGGGTGTTTTTATTCCTTCTCTAAATGTTGATCGTAATACTATTTGTACTGTGTTTATGTGTATATAACTTATCTTTTTCCTATCTTCTTCTTTTATTTTTTCTAATCTCTTTTTTATTTGATTTATTTCAACTAAGGGTGCTTGAAAATTATAATTTGCTTGTTCTATTTTAGTTGGTTGTTCTCCATTCATTATTCCATAATGTATTATATTTTTTCTATTTAATTTTTCTAATATACTATTATTTATTCCTTCTTTCTTTTCTAAATCTAAATTTCCTTTATTTTTTACTTTCGTTACTACCTTCTTATCTAAAAATATATCTGATAAAGAAATTCCTTGTTCTTCTATATTTTCTATAACATGATATTCTTTATCCATTATTTATCTTTTATTATCTTATATTTAGAATTCTTAGTCTTATTTGAACACTTATACTAAATGCTTGGTACTCAACTTTCTTTATTAACTCTTTAATCCTATTATTTGAGGAAGTAATATTATCGCATATTCGAAAATGATCTTCTACTGAATGTTCTTTAGGTGCATAAATTTTTACTAGGTTGAATAACAATTGTTCATTTTCTTTTAACATTTTTGTTAATGAAGCAATTTGTTCTATTAATGCTTTGAGACAATTTATATCCTTACGTATTTCTCTATATGACATATTCAAAAAAATCATTAATATCCATTAATTTTCGAATTTTCAAATATAATTTTTAAGAGAGAAATAATAAGCTTTGGATAAGAGCATACCTTCCTTTATTGGTTACCTTGTTCAAGGACACCCTTTCATCTTCTTGGCCTATACTCAATCTTTATCAACGACCTCGACTATCTGGGTTGTGTATTTGTCCCTCCAGAACTTTTTTAACCGATGTTGGAATGTTTTTCTTTTCCTTGCTTATTATTTCTAAATGTATTTAATTACTCATGTAGTATGAAACACACATCTTTTATTTCATAGAAATAATTACAAGACTCGAGTTTTTCATACAGACTTGAGCTCTGCTTTAGAATGACAAAGTCTCGACCCTTAAATATGCGTAGATCAGGACATGTCAAGCGACAAGTCACATCTACTTTATTAAAGACAAGATAAGATGTTTGACTATTACATCCACCTACTACTTCTTTTTGTCAATTTGTTTGACAATTACACTTACCTACTCCACTTGCTACATTATTGCCTATCTACTTTTGAAAATTTCTTCCACCTACTGCATTATTGCCTATATACCTCTTACATTATTGCCAACTTGCTTGATAATTACCTTTGCCTACTACATTATTCTTTAATAGGCTTAATTTCTTCTTCATGATTTGGGCTGCATATTTCGCATACATGATCTTCTGCAAATTCTTCCTTCAACCTGATGCAGACTTCTTGTTTAATGGACTTAGGCATTTCATACTTGATTTGAATGACTCGTTCCATAAATTTGTTTAGTATCTCAACATCTAAAGGCATTGGTGGCCTTGCTTGCATACTCCATAATAAAACGGACTGGGATGAATAATTAATTCTTCCCTTTACTCTAATGCTTTTTCCGAGTATAATCACATAATTGTTTAAATAATGTGTTAACTCGTTTTCGTGCTTTGCTATTCCTAGATCTAGATAGTTTCCATTACTAACTCCAATTTGGCATAATTGTATGGCTGGCTGTATAACTTCCCCCTCCTTAGAAAAAATGAAAATTATTGCGAATATTTTCATGAATCCTTCTTTTTTATTGAGAGGCTTGCTGGAGTATGAGTGAATATCTTGTGTAAACTTAGTCGGGAAATACTGAAAGATATCAGTACTTCTGAAGTATGTAAAACTAAGTAACTCGGATTGGAACATAATATATGTCTTTATTGGATCGGCTTCTGGTAGACTAATTGCTTTAGGTCGTGTGAAATAACTTTCAACAGGATAAATGCTTGTTGCTTTGTCTTTGTCTGAGTAATTTAGGAGAAAATTATATTCTGCTTTCAATAATTTTCTTGTTAACTTAGTACTCTCTTCTTTTTGCTGTCTAGTCCGAATTTGGTTGATGGTGAGTTGTCTTGGACTTGGAATTTTTCCCAAGTACTGGTAACTTTTTCTCCGACGATGAACTTGTTGAAGATGGCGTTTGTACTTTTCCTGCGTATGTGGATTGAAAATCCCTGAGTGCATCTTTGGCTTCCTGAAGGCTTAGGAATTTTTTGTGGATTATTGTGTCCCGTGATAAAAATTGCTGCCTTACTCCATGCATCGTATATTCCTTGATTTGGTCCAGTGAATATAACATAATGCGCTTTGGCTCGTTCTTCTTCATCATATTCCTTTTTGCTTTCTTTTTTACTTTCTTTTTCATTACTTTCTTTCTCTTTTTCATTTTCTTTTCTACTTTCTTTTTCTTTTCCTGGATTCAAAACTAGATCAATAGCCTGAACTTCTTTTTCTTTTTTACTTGCCTCTATCTGACACTGCCTCACTGTTTCTTTCAACTGCCTTATTTCTTCTTCAAGCTGGTTTCTTTTTTCATTAAAATTGCTGCAACTGACTCCATTCTCGTGTAAGAGTATCTGCTAAATAATTTTCTTTTCCTGGGATATACACAGAAATATAATCAAATTGTTGTGCTTTTAGGCTTCATATAAGAATTATACCTTTATTGTAGGATTCTTTCAATCGGTATTTTGTAAAATCTTTAGTGTATAGGCTATCGGTTTGAAAGATGAATTTCACTGGTTGTAGGTCGAATATTCATTTCTTTGTAATTTATAACCATTCTTCGTTTTCCTCTTTTTAATTCATTATGATTTTCTACATAAAATGCTGGTGCACTATGTGGACTTGTACAAGGTTGTATAATATCATTTTCTAACATCTTAGTAGTTTCTTCTTGAAATTCTTTAACAGCTCTTTCTGTATATGGTATTCTATTTGGCACATTGACTTCCTTGCTAGGATCTATAAGTTCTATTTTTACTATCATGTTATTCTTGTTTTTATTTGGATCTAATGGATTTTGACTACATATGTTTTCTAATAGTTGATTAACATGTTCTTCTAGTGTTATACTTATTACTTTATAAATTTGAAACGAAACTTTTCTTAATATTTCCCCCTTATGAAAGAAGATGTATTATATATTTTTGTAGTAACTATTTTACTAGACTGCGTATCGAGTTGTGGACATTTAAGACTTATAGTGTTTAATCTTTGAATAAATGGACTGTATAACTTAAGAAAGTTATTTCCAATTATTAGTGGTAAACCCGTATTTTGTTTATAAAGACTTGGTAAAGGAAATCGTTTTTCTTTTATTAATAATACTAAGTCTATTGCTCTATAATCAATACTTATTGTTTTGTTATTTGCAATTCTTACTATAATAGGTTTATCTATTTTCTTCCAATATTTACTAGGTAATATGGATTCTTTTGCTAGACATATTGTTGCACATGTGTCTATATATGCTAGTAGAAATTTGTTAAATAATTTAACTTTTATAAATGAACTGTTTTTACTCATCTTCTGATTTGGATGTTTCTAAATCACTATCTGTTTTTGATTCTAAATCATATATATCAAAGTCTAATAGTTCGCCTTCTTCGTATTCTTCTTCTATAGGTTCATAACCTAAAGAAAATATTAATTTTAACTTCTTTTCTTTTTCTGGCATGTTTTTAGGGCATTCATTTGCATAGTGTCCTATTTCTTGACATTTCCAACATCTACAATTCTTTTTTCCTTTAGGACAATATTTAGGTTTTCCTAAGTATTTTCCTTGTTTTCTAAACTTTCCTTTATATTTTGTTTTCCACGGTTTTCTAAATGTCTTATATCTTCTTGGTCTATATCGTCTATTAAACTTATTGTATTTATAATATCTTTTCTTTTTGTATGGTTTATAACAACCAAATTCCTGCGGTACACTTCCTAATAGTGTGCAACATCTTGAATCGATTTTTGTCATTTCATAGTGTTCTATTTTCCTTATACAAAGTTCATCTCTATATTCTTTTGCATATTTTTCTAAAATTCCCAGAGTTTTTTCTTCTTTTGTTTCACTAATTTTCTTCTGAATGTATTTATTCATTTCATTTTTAAGTTTACTTTCAACTATTTCTATTAGTCCTGATCGATCTTTAATTTTATAGAAATTTTCTCTTACTTGACAGAAAAAATTTTCTATGTAGCATATATTACATAACTTCATATTTGTTAGAAATCTAACAATCTTATCTTTTTGTGTTTCTTTTGATTCTTGTCCTATAATTCCTAAAAATTCTTTTAATAAATCTTTTGCTAATTCTTTTAAGGCTGATATTTTATATTCTGCTCTTGTTTATAAACCACTGGCTTCAAGATTTAATAATATTTGCGTGTTTTTTAGATAATCAAATAATACTCCAGATGTTTTATATATTATATAATTAGCAAAATCGGTTAATGTCATTCCATTTATCATCGAGTCATTAGTTTGAACTAATAATTTTAATTGATTAGTCCAAGTAACTATTAAATCTTCTGAATTTGTTGCACAATCTATATTTAATATTCCGTTAGATAAATTTCTTTCTTTTTCTAAATACGTTGGTGGAATATTTTTCTTTATTTTTTTTTTTTGATGATAACTATAATCATTTCTATATATAAAATCTCTAAAATTGCTTTCTACATAATTATTTTGTGAAGTAGATGCTTCATTATTATTTGTTCTAGGTCGTTTTGGTGATAATGGTGGTGTTGTATGAATTTTTTGAGCAGTCATATTAAACGTTGGTTCATCTTTATCTTCGCTATCTATTCCGTAGATTATTCCTTGTTTATCTTCGTCATCTATTTTTGTCATTCTTGTTTCTTCAATATTGCATTTTTCTAGTAACTGAGTTAGCCTATCTATGTCATCCATTAGAACTTGTTGGTGGTTTTATTTGAATTGGCTTAAATACTATTTTCCATGTTTTTTCTTTTTGTACTAAATGTTGTAGTTCTTTTATTATTTCTTTTATTTCGTCTAATTTTACAAATATTTCTAATTGAGTCTTTTTTATTGTTTCTATAAGTGTTTTTATTTGTTCTGAGACTTTTGGTGGATTACTCATGATTTTATTTTTATTTTATTAATTATTTATCTTTAATTGTATTTTTAAATGAATTTAGTATATTGAATTTGTCTATAGCAAAATGTTATGTGGGAATAGCAATTAAATTGCCACTTGGCCATATCTCATTGGCCTTTGCAAAAAATGGGCGCGACCCACGCAGGTGGCGTCGACTAAATGAAAATTAATATATGAACATCCTGTCTGTTTTCAAATTGATATAATTGACCGAGCTAATTGATAAAAGAAAATTGCTAGATAAGGTTTTACTAAATTCTGATGTATTAATAATTTACTAGTCAAATTAGCTTTTATAATTTTTTTATCAATTGAATAATACAATTTTTACTTAATATTTTAATTTATCAAAGTTACTATATGGTAATTCGAGATAAATAAATATTTGTGAAATGTTTTCGGGTTTAGAAGAAACCCTTCTTTAGCTTGGCCTCCAAGTAACCGCTTTCAGTCAGCTCTCTCGCCGGCGGCCATGGCTACGGCCGTGCTCTCCAAGCGCATCCCATCGATCCGCAGCCCCTCGCCCCATTTCTACACAAATTACCTCACTTTCCTCACCATGGCCTCCTCCTCCACCCCAATTTCTCTCATCGGACCACCGGAAATCTACACACTACCGGCCGCCGCCGCCCCTCCGTCCGCCGCCGAATCGAAGAAAAATCCTTTCGTGGACCAGATGGTAGCGAATTCCAACAATTTCGTGCTGTCCTTGCCGATGGGCCTGACGGAGAATCAATCGCCGACGTTCCTCTCCTCCGGCAACCCCTGTCTCGATTTCTTCTTCCACGTCGTCCCGAACACCCCTCCGGAATCCCTCGTCCGCCGCCTTGAACTCGCCTGGGAGCACGACCCGTTAACGGCGTTGAAGCTCATCTGCAATCTCCGAGGGGTGAAAGGCACCGGCAAATCCATCCGGCAGGGCTTCTACACAGCCGCCATTTGGCTCCACGAGAACCACCCAAACACCCTAGCCGGAAACTTGGACGCCTTCGCAGGCTTCGGTTACGGCAAGGACCCGCTGGAGATACTTTACCGGCTTCTCGAAGGTCCCGACGCTCGACAAGCTGCGTCTAGCGCAAAATTGGATCACGAGATGTGGAAAAAGAGGAACGAGAGGCGGAAATCGAGAGGAAAAGAATGTAAGGTGGCCCGTCGAGGCTATTACGGAAGGAAATTGATCCAGCTAGAGCCCGAGCCAAGATTGAGCCATGAAGAGAAGAGAATCTTGAAGGGGAAGAGAGTTGTCGAAAAGTTTAATACCGACCCCGATTACAGATTCCTGCACGAACGAGTTTCCGATTATTTCGCCCGCAACCTGAGATCTGATATGGATTTTCTGAACAAAGGGGAGCTGTGCAAAATCAGCCTTGCTGCAAAATGGTGTCCCACGTTGTACTCCTCGTACGACAATGCCACGCTCTTGTGCGAAACGATTGGTAAGAAGGTTTTCCCGAGGGACGAGTTTCCCGAATACGAAGGAGTCGAGGAGGCACACTACGCTTATCGTGTTAGGAACCGTCTAACGAAGGAGATTCTCGTGCCCCTACGTAAAACCCTGCAACTTCCCGAGGTTTACATGAGCGCCAACAATTGGGCTTCCCTTCCTTACAACAGGGTTGCTTCGGTTGCCATGAAAACGTACAAAACCTTGTTCTTCAAACATGATGAGGAAAGGTTTCATCAGTATCTTGATAAGGTTGAGAAAGGGGAAGCCAAGATTGCGGCCGGGGCTTTGCTTCCGCACGTGATAATTGCTGACCTGGACGATGGCTCGGACGACGGTTGCCAGGTGGCGGAGCTTCAGTGGAAGAGAATGGTTGATGACATGGCGAAGGTTGGGAAGCTGAATAATTGTTTGGCAGTCTGTGATGTGTCGGGGAGTATGGAAGGGACTCCGATGGATGTGTCGGTTGCGCTCGGGATTTTGGTCTCGGAATTGAGTGAGGAGCCGTGGAAAGGGAAAGTCATCACGTTTAGTGCGAATCCCGAGCTTCAAACGGTCAGAGGTGAAAGCTTGAAGGAGAAGACAGAGTTTGTGAGGGAGATGGAATGGGGTTGTAACACTGATTTTCAGAAGGTGTTTGATGTTCTGCTTCGTGTGGCGGTTGATGGGAAGTTGAAACCGGGACAGATGATTAAGAGAGTGTTTGTTTTCAGTGATATGGAGTTCGACCAGGCGTCCAGAAGGCCTTGGGAAATGGATTTTGAGGTGATTGTAAGGAAGTTTGAGGAGAAAGGGTATGGAGGTTTTGTGCCGGAGATTGTGTTTTGGAATCTAAGGGAGTCGTTGGCCATGCCTGTGCTGGCCGGCCAGCGAGGAGTGGCGCTCGTGAGCGGGTTTTCGAAGAATCTGATGAAGCTGTTTATGAAGGAAGGTGGAGATTTCAATCCTGTGGAGACTATGGAGGCTGCGATTTCTGGGGAGGAGTATAGGGAACTTCAAGTGTTGGATTGATCTGAAAAGACTCAAATGCTGTCACAAATTGTTGCAACTACATTGCCAAGTACTAAGGCATGCAGGTGTGAATAATGAATAAGAAAAAACGCTTTGTTTTGTTTTGGTTTGGTTATTTTCTAGTTTCGCTTATAGCATCCNTCCTGTTTCTGGTTTACAGTTTTATTCATTGGAAATTGATTGATTGATTAATCTCATTGCCCTCTAAGAAAGTTGTAGTCTTGTAGAGATGAAATTGGTGCCATTTGAACCTGCTGAGAACATGCTGTTAGTAGCCTTAATCCAAGGTCATGTGGTAGGAAAAAAGTTTGGAGGAAAACAATTTACAGTTTTAATTACCTATAAATAAAATTTGCCAATTTCTATGTAAGATTTATTATTAAAACTAGCTTTAACCTTTGCAAGGAAAACCATAAAATAGAGGAGAAAATAATAAAAATTCTAAACACTAGTAAAAATCATAATATAATCATTGGAAAAAAAAAGTTTTAAGAAAGAAAATCTAAATATTATTGCACACTTCTTTATGTTTGGTACATGATCAGTTCATGTATTGTATATTTTGGTTATATGTTTCATATACAAAATCTTCAATTTTTCGTGTTTTGTAAGTGAAACTTTTACTGCATAACATAATCATGAGTTGAAAAACGAGTTGTATTGTTTGTTATTTTTTTGGTTGGGTATTGTTATTAATGTATTGTATATTTTAAGTGTTTGATATGTGATCAGTATTGTTATAAACTTATAATCAGTTAAATAGTTTATGTTTGATATATGATCAGTTTATGTACTATTACTAATGTTTCGACATCGGCGGTAGCCTAAATAAAATGTTTAAAACCACAACATATATTGAATATACAGTGTTTATAATCGCAACATATACATAATTATGAAAAATATCCAAAACAACATAAACAATAATCAACATAAAGATAAACAACATATTATTCTGTAACACCCCAACTAATTATATTTTGTTTTCACATTGTTGTACTACTACTACTACAATTATTATTATTATTATTATTATTATTATTATTATTATTATTATCATCATCGTTATGAGTTATATTTAATTTTAAATGAATATCAAGCTAGTAAATAAATAATAAATCCTTTCAATTAAAGTATTTTGGACATAATTATTATCTACTCAAAATTATTCTGTGATTTGTATTTGTACTTAATTTCCTACATGATCATTCTCTTCCCGAACCTTTGTTTATTTATTACTGTTTTAAAATGTAATTATTCCTTTTAATATTTTAGGAAAAGCCAATCTGTAGATTTTGTTTTTTGTCAAGATTGATTGTAATTTATATTATACCATAGTTAGTGCATCTTCCAAAATCATTTGATTTTAGCTTCTTAAATTAGACCCCAATGATTTAGTATAAATATCCCCCATCCTATACCTCATTTTCACTCACAATCCATCTTAGAAGTAAATATTTTTCCTCGTCTTCTTCCTTTTTTCATTTCTTTCTTTCTTTCTTTCGTTATGTTTATCATTCTTCTTCGACACCGTCCCCGGCCATGCTCCGTTATTCTGTCACCGCCGGGCCGCCCTTGTCGGATCCATCTGCGTGTGTGTCAATGGGAACGGTGGCAAACAAGTTGAATGAAGGTAATTTTTTTTATTTTTGTTTATTTATTATATATCATTCTCGGCAATTAAGAGTGGGATTATAAAGTTCAATCTAGCAATTCGCTAAGATTTCATTTGGTTCTCTATTTCACAAAATCGATTGGACATGAGATTATTTGTTAAAAGATATATAACACACGCACACACCACACTAGATTATATGTGTATATATATATAAATTGTTTATTTATTTTACTTTTTATGAATTTTATATACATAGATTTATATTTATCTATTTTGTTAATTTATATTAAGACATTCATCTACTTTATATGTGTAAAAATCGCATTGATCCAAGACTATTTCATATTTGTAGAGTTGGATTACACTGAGAAGTGGGCATTCTTTCAAGTCAAACTTGTCATCCCTCATTCATCCATTTATCAAGGTGGGGTTTTATTCTTACAAAAATTCATGTACATGTCTCTTATGAATGTTTCATTGTTACTTTCAATTACTTATGTGATCTCTGTATGCTAATATATGTAACCTTCGGGTTAATCAATGTTGCCTACGATTTAAAATTCATGTAGCCTTTTGGCTAGACAATGATATTATGGCCGAGTACTCCGTGGATTTAGTTCTACGTAAAACATGTTGGAGATTCACTGTCATGTAAAAGTATTTTCATTGTGTAATTGTGTAATATTCGTAAGTGACATGTTTTGCCCCACTAGCATTGTTGGCTTAGCCCTTTCTTTTATAAAAATATTTTTAGGTCAAGGAGCTCGGTGAAGCGTTGGCGGTGGACAAAGTGAAAGTAACATATTTTACTAATTGTTGATTCTATCTTATCGCTAATTTTTATATAATGATGTATAAAATATTTTTAACACTTTCGTTTCAAAATTTTAGTTGTTTGTTTTATTTAAAATACCGTTTTAACTTTAGTGCTCTTTTCTAATTAAAATTTATCTTGTGAAAATCGGGGCGCTACATGTTCCTTTGTAAATTTTCGTTGTTAATAAAAAGAACTTCTAAATACACCAAACATAAACTATGATAACAATCAAATAATCATTGAAACAGATCATGAAATCTTTTAATATACCAAACATAAACTATGAATAAACATCAAATAAAACAATGAAACAGATTCTATCAGAAGTATCCGTATGCCACCGTTGCTCACAAGTAAACTGTCGTAGCGTCACTGAGATTGTGCCGGCGGAAACATATACTGAGAATATATTGTATATAAAGGAAACATATGCTACTCATAACTCAGCCACCAACCAACTTTCTTCAATTGAAATTTTTTACATCAACTTGAAGATTGTTACCTCCTCGTTCACCTCTTAAAATTTCCAAAAGATTCTCACAGGAAGGGCTCCAGTTGTTTTGGTGAAACATTCTAGATCTAAGAAATTTTGGTCAATATGTGATTATCTTCTTTAATTTTTCAATGATTTTCGGCTACTCAATTTCATTAAAGACAACCGTCGGACTCCTAGCGCACCCACCTCCGACGACAAATAAAACAATGAAACAGATTCTATCAGAAGTATCCGTATGCCGCCGCTGCTCACAAGTAAGCTGTCGTAGCGTCACTGAGATTATGCTGGCGGAAACATATACTGAGAATGTACTGTAATATAAAGAAAGCATATACTACTCGTAACTCAGACGCCAACTAACTTTCTTCAATTGAATTTTTTTTACATCAACTTGAAGATTGTCTCCTCCTCGTTCACCTCTTAAAATTTCCAAAAAAATGCTAATAGGAAGGGTTCTTGTTGTTTTGGTGAAACATTCTAGATCTAAGAAATTTTGGTCAACATGTGATTATCTTCTTTAATTTTTCAACGATTTTCGGCTACTCGATTTCATCAAAGACCACCGTCGGACTCCTAGCACCACAGTGCACCCACCTTCAACGACCGTCGCCTTTTCCCACCATCTCCCTCGACCGCGACCGCTAGCCGCCTCTTCTCACTGTCTGCGTGCCTTCTCCAACTATTCACAAGTAGCCCGCCGACGCGCCACCTCCATCAGCCCGTCGTCTACCACAAGGCCAATGAAATTGTATGGCCATCGGAGCTCTATTCTCTTTCTTCTTCTACTTTGAAGCTATAAACTATTAAACTCCATTTTCTCCTACAAACTCAACGATATGGAGAAAGAATAAAAAAACTATGGAGAGATAGTGGATGAGATAAGGCGTAAAACCGTTTTGGAAACAAATTGATAAATAGTCCCATAAAATCCGCAATTTACCATGTTTAAAATATATATTTAACAAAACTAAAAACCTGGCATATGTGCAAATAATTATGGTAAATCTAGTAGATTTGCAAATAAATATATATTGGATGTATATGTGTAATATAAAAAAAAAAAATGGTTGGTATGGGGTGCAAATTCCACATTACTATATAACAAGGTTACATTTTTACTATATATAGTAGTAAAAAAATCAAATTAACTCCTTTTCAGCTTTCTAATTATGGTAAATACAAAATTTACATGACATATAATATTTTCTTTTTTCTAGCAATTTCAAATATATTTTTTTCCAGTTATTTCAAAAATCGGTTCCTAATATATCTTTCAATATTTATTCACGTAGCATGTGTGAACTTTTTAAAATTCACACAACACATTATTTATTAAACTTATATGTTTGCTGATATTATATAAAATTATTATTTTCACCAATAAAAATTTGTATTTTTTTATTTGTATTTGCATAAAAAAATTATAAACAATAAATCGGGTAAAAAACGTATTCATTTTTACATAAAAGATTATACACACTAAAATCGGGTCACAACACTATTTTTTTACATACATATGAATATAAACTGTAATATTTTTATTTTTTTAATAGTGATTTTGGGACGTAAGTGTGATTTTTTATTTACAAGTCATTGGTTCTCCTGAAATTTCAACATTTGTTAAATATAAATATAGCACATTATTTGAACATTAATCCAAATATATACAAATCAATCTTTGCAAATCATCTCAACCCACTATTTGTAATATATACTACTGATTCAAATTAAAAAAAAAAAGTTTGTTATATTTTATTAAGAGATAGAATATCAAATTAAAAAAAAAAATGGGACAGACATCTTTGATAACCTTTTTTTTTT